CACACTGAAAATGTGACGGTGATGGCATATGATGAGCCCGCTTGGATGTCGTGTAGATGCATGTGCAGTCAAACACACACAATATTTCTGAAAGAGACCATCAGGAGCCGAGTGAACATTTAAACTGGTCTCCATTGTTTTGCCCCATTGTTCCAAAAGGCCACTTTCTCTGCTTTGGATGGGAGGATGGGAGGGAGAAAGATATATTTAGCAGCTCACAGTCCTCTGGTCACAAATACAGGAATTCCTGAGAGATTTTGGTTGTGTGCACCAAGGGATTCAAGTTAGTGGGAGAAAAATTAAGAATGAGGATGCCACAAAATATACATTGTGTCTTTACTTGTCAGTGTTAATAAAGAATATCTGATCTGTAGATTGATTGTGGAATGGCAGAGGATTCGTTTTCAACTAGTGGATGTGTAAATCTGGTTTATTGACCAATGGTAGACGGAGGAACTGGAAGTGTTTGGGAAAACCGCTTTGAAAATGGTCATTATTTTTGCAGTACTGTTTGGTGCCACTAGAGGCACAGAATTGACACACTTAACATTGAATTAATGGCACCGTGCAGGCTTCATTTTCTTTATGCACAGTATCATTCTTTACTATTTTTTTCCTTCTGTGGTTGAACTATGACACGTGTTTTTGGATAATCTCACACAATTGATCATTGTCTCTGGTCTACACCACACAATACAAAACAGAGAAATTTGAAGAAGTGAAGGTCACGTATATTGCATGAGCGATTGCACAGACCATGAGATAACACTTCTCGTCACAGAACACTGACTATAGGATGTCACAGTGGCTCTTTCTCTTTGCTTTTTAAGTTTCCTAAAGAAAGTTTGTTTCTAAATTTGTAATCTCTCCTCGTCTCTGCAAAAAAAAAGCATGAGTGTTAAAACGGATGTTTCGACTGCGTCTCTGATTAAAATGGGGCCAGAGTTGGTAAACTTGCTTCATTTCCATGACTCAGTACACACTGTTCATTTCAGTGAATCCATTCCAAACAAACGTTGCATTTGTGTCAACACTGGTCACTGAAATTCTTGAATGGCATTTTTTATATTTTAGTGAAAATAGGTGTTAATAAATATTATTGGTTATTATGTTATTATTTATGTACTCTAACATTTGAGCATATACTTTGAGATAATTCAATATCATTATTCTTTGGCTAATTTGGCAAGAAAAAAGGATGGAAAAACATGCCAACATTAATTTTAAGTGGATTTTACTGTATTTTACTTGTTGCGTTAATCGTTTTAATTGTAATTAGCAACATTGGATGAAAAATCTGTTAAATCTAAATATTCTACATATTATATATTATCAAAAATAAATAAATAGTGTAATAAAAATATAATTGTTTTGGCTATATTGCCCACTTAGTGCTACTGTGTAAATTTAGGTCTGACATTTAAAGCAGTTTTCCCCCTCACTGAGGATTTTGCATCACTTCATTTGGCGAGGTGTTTCTTTCATGTCACCACATACCACAGGACGCAACAGCACAAGTGCAGCATTATTGCACATTTCCTGTCTGCAGATTCCGTCTTTCATAACAAGCTGTCTCATTTGAGAAGATTTCTGAACGTTCCACCCATTGAGCTTGTTCATGCCAGGCAGTTATAGTGTGTGGGCCAGGCAGAAGTTAATTTGTTTGCTAAGCGCTCAGATAAATTCTTCTTCCTCTCCGCTCAGGCTTAATGTTTGTGTGTTCATGTGTGTATGAGTCGGTCTCTTTCTGCTCATTGAGACATAGAGCTGCCATGCTGGCGCCCCAGGGATCTCCATGAATAAATGATCTTGCTTTTTCATTCTTATTCTTTCGTCCCAGAAAAGAAGAGATAAACTCACTTTGCGTGTATTACGGGGGATGCAGCTAGCTAAAAATACCTCAGACAGAATCTTTGTTGCTAAGGCTTGCTCAGCAACTGAACTGGATGTCACTCCCCCTAGAAAGCCCCGCCAAGAAAACCGTTTCTTTCTGTCACTGGAAATGTTGGCATATTTAGTGTCACGTGCCCCATCATCATTCCTTCCCATTATATACCCATCACTATGTCTACCCATTAGAGTGAATGTGTGACCCTACCAAGGATTTTGTCATATCTGCTCATTTTTAGATATTTGGAGGACAGTATATTTTTTTATTGTTTTTATTTTATCAAAAATACAGTAAATAATATTGTCATTTTAACATTTTAAACTGTGATTTATTTTTTATGTGTGACCCTGGACCACAAAATCAGTCATAAGGGTCAGTTTTTAAATTTTTTTTTTTTTTTTACATTATCTGAAAGCTGAATAAATAAGCTTTCCATGGTTTGTTAGGATAGCACAATATTTGGCCGAGACAACTATTTGAAAATCTGGAATGTAAGTGCAAAAAAAATCTAAATATTGAGAAAATCACCTTTAAAGTTGTCCAAATTATGTCCTTAGAGATACAACTATTTGAAAATCTGGAATCTGAGGGTGCAAAAAAATCTAAATATTGAGAAAATCACCTTTAAAGTTGTCCAAATTATGTCCTTAGCAATGCATATTACTAATAAAAAATTATTACTAATAAAAATTAAAAGTTTTGATTTATTTATGGTAGGAAACTTACAAAATATCTTCATGGAACATGATTTTTACTTAATATCCTAATGATTTTTGGCATAAAAGAAAAATACAATGTATTGTTGGCTATAGCTACAAATATACCTGTGCTACTTATGATTGGTTTTGTGGTCCAGGGTCATATATATATATATATATA